CTAATTGCGTGGCTAATGAATAAATATATATTTTCTTGGATAAATCCCATTCTAATGGAATATATTTAATGCCTTCTATATAAGTATTAAAATATTAATTAAATTAAATTAAATATATATCAGATATTAACAATTAAAATAAGGTACCTTTTAAAATTCGATAGCCTAACACATCTAAAACTTTTTTTCTCAAATTATCACCTAAAATATCAAATATTGGATAAATATCACTATATTCGATTATTTTCCAATTTTTGAAATGTTCAAGTGATGCAGTCAATTCTGCTGGGGGACAGTTATTTTCAAGATCGTCTCCATTAATAACTTTTAAATTGCTATCAACTAAATATTATTTAAATCTCTGTTATTACGTTTATAAAGCAAAATAAAATAAAATAAAAAATGGTAATATACTATTTACTTGAATTATTGGTATTGAGTTCCTTTATTATAGCTCCTCCAAAAACAATGCGACGCGCATAAAAATATCCATAGTTCTCTGTTATTTTCCGAAGGTTGTCTATTTTATTACATGATTCCAACGCACCATTAATATCTCTTTCGAAATTTTCTGATAAATTCAAACATTCTTTTGTAATTATAACCTCAGCTCTTATTAATTTTGTAACTAAAATTTCGGTAGTTATTGAAGGCTCAAGGTATTTCTTGGAAGATTCTTTAGACATTCCAAGAAAGATGGAAAGCCAAGGTAAAATAGTTGAGATTTCACCATATGAAATAAGATTTTTATTGCATAAATTATCCAATTCATTATTGCATATTTTCCTTTGTTCATCAATATAATTAAAAAGTTTTGGTTGAATTTTATCTTTATCAACCTTAAACGCACTTTTAATCGCATTTTTAATTAGTCTATCCTTGAATATGAACCCTTGTTCGATTTTGCCTATAATGTCAGTAGGATTTACAGTTTCCATCATAGTACTATATTCTTTAGTCAGGACTTCAAGAACGAAACTGGCTTCCGGTCTCTTATTAGGATCATCATCCCAACATTTACTATAGAGCTCAAAGTATCTTTTTGGTGTATTTGGTACAGCTTCTTCTCTCTTCCCATGAGGAACGTTACATGAAATAAAATATATATTATCATTAAAGGGTCTTTTACAACTAGAAATCTCCCAGAGAATTACCCCAAAACTATAGATATCCGATTTCATAGTAAGTTTATATGATTCATCTTTAAAGCGCTGAGGGTCTACATATGCAGACATACCATAGCGATAAGCTTTTGAGGTTACGGATATCCCATCAATGTTTTTGGATAATCCAAAATCTCCAATCATGATTTTTTCTTTATGAATTAAAATATTTTTTGAATGCTAAAATTATTAAGAAATATTATTATTAAAATATATTTATAAAATATAATTTAAGAAAAAAATAAATATTTACAAAATCTCGGTGAATAATTCCTTTATCATGTAAATACTTTAATCCAGTGGCAATTTCCTTTGCAATATGCAATTTTTTAGGCCATTCTATGTTTGGATTATTACTTAAATAATCCGATAAATTCCTATCTTCAGCGTATTCTAAAACAATATAACAATCTTTTGAAGATGGGTCTATAAACAATATTATTAATTATTAAATTTGGTATAAAATAATTAGAACAGAATTTTAACATTAACTTTGAATTTACATACTAATAGTGATTCCATAGAAATGAATAATATTTGGGTGATGACTAATCGTTTGAAAATGTTGAAGCTACATAATTTTAAGTAAATTGGATAATTAACCATTGTAATATTTTTAATGTGAAATGTTGTAAGCTTAAACTGGTTAAAAAACATTACGCATTAACTAGAAAATATTTTGTAATATGTTTACTAGTAAAATACGTATATAATTTCTACTTGCGTTATTATAATAATACCTCATTAATAAATTTATTGATGCTCTTTTCATCCGGATCGAATTTAATTGTTTTAAGAACAACAGTTTTATTTCTCCATTGAGTTTTTAATATTTTCCCAAATGCGCCTTCATCAATCTTCTGGGAGTCTCCAAATTCATTATAATCACAGAGTTTATCATCGATTACACTTCTAAGACGTTCATTGAAATATTCTGACATATTTTAATAATTT